AGGTCGAAGGGGTTCTGGGGTTGAGGGGGTGATATGGACATTAGGGTGACGTGGGCATGGGGGTGACATGGACATGAAGGCTCCAGGGCCAGGTCTGGGGGGGCTCCAGGGCCAAGGGGGCTCTGGGGCTGAGGAGCTGGAGGGACTAAACCCTGGCAGTGGCCCATGGGACCTTCACCTCCACCCCCAAGACCCATCTCACAAACCCCCTCCCATTTCAGCGCTGGGGGCCCTCCTGCCTTTGGGCTGCTATTAATTAGAGCTTAATTAGAGGTGGGGGCTCAGGGCCAAAACTGCTAGTGAAGGCGYGTTCACTGTGGTGTCAACCATGGAATCAAGGAATGGTTTGGGTTGGAAGGGACATTAAAAGATCATCTCATTTCATCCCCTGCCACAGTCAGGGCGCTCTTCCCCCACTCCCAAGGAAGCCCAGGCAGGGCTTTGCCTCCCAGTTTGCCTTTACAGTGTGAAATTCCTGCTTTTCATTCACACCTTTCATCCCCTGATTTCAAAGGGCTTTTGTCCAGCCAGCAAATTATTCACAAAATCCATTCAGGAGTTTGCAGATCCATCAAACGTGGATTTCCCAGTGTTTCCCTCCCCGAAACACTCTCTCTTTGCCAGCCAAGAGGAAAGTGCCCCATTTTCATGCATTATTAAAAGGCTTTTCCTACCCACAACCAGCAATASTGAAAACACCTGGTTTGTGCATTATTTAGGTGATTGCTGCCCAGAGCCACGGGGTTTTGAGCAGTTCCTCGCCTGCAGAGGTCAGCATTGGAAAGACTTCTTCCAAAGGGATTCAAGGAATTGAAGCCCAAAGGATTTCTGCAGGAACCCCCATCCCCAGGGATGTCCTCAGCGCGTCTGGGAACCATCTGACAGCGTGAAAAAATAGCATTAAAATGTAGTATTTTGTGGTCAGAGTGGGTTATGGTGGGGAGAGGTGTGTGGAGAGGYGATGTTCTTACCAGGGCTTCAGTTACGAAATAAAATATTCCCAGCTGGATGTGTTTTGAAGGCTTAAAGCCACAAAATACTGAGATAATAAAAAAAGGAAAGGTTTTTATAACTCACTCTCCACGTTGTCCCATGTTTTAAATATTGTAATACCCTCTTTGTGGTGCAGGAGAGCAAAGGGATTATCTACTTTAAATGTTAAATAACATAAAAGCAGTAATACTTACTGAGTTCTTCCACTGATTAAAGAAATCATAGAAATAAACACAGAGTTGTTTAGGATGGAAAAGACSTTAGAGGTCATCAAATTGGATGGGTTTGCAAAACAAATGAGGTGAGTTATTCTGGTTCTTCTCCCTAAAGTTATTTCTTGTAGCTTGGGTCACTCCAAATAACAGAAAAATAATGAAAGACAGCAGAATTTACCCCAAAATAAATGTTTGGTTTAGATCTATAGTCACCACTGAATATCCCTGTTCTTTGCCTGGGATGTAGATGGATTAAACATGTGAGGATCTTTGAGTTAATGGTAAATCGCCAACAAATAATCCAGAAAATTGTCCTAAACAACTAAAGTTGGTTTATTTATGGGGGAAGGGGAGGAGGGGAGTGAGGACAAGCT